AAAAAAAAGATACAAATTTCTGCTAGGCTAAAATTTTTTTAGCTTAGAAGCGCTGTTGATATTAAAGTTTTCGGCTACTGCCCTATTAAAACAGTAAATTTTCAGATAGGAAGCAATAAAATCGAAATATTATTGAATAAAATATTTGTCTTAGAAGAAATTGCGAATTGTTGCTTATATAAATCTTGCGTTTTTTCGCTTAAGCTTAAGCCATAATCCTTAGTCGTTTAATTTTTGAAACTTTCTTTTTTCTCGTTCAAAAATGCAAAATGAAAAAATAGATATAAAATAGATACGATTCATTATCTGAAAGTATGCTTAATCTAAGTTGATAATGATGAATCAAAATCTAAGTATAAATATTAACTATTAACATACACGATAGAAGGAAACCGGACTAGAATGGTCATTGGATCAAATCATAATAATAATAATAATAATAATAATAATAATAATAATAATAATAATAATAATAATGATGATGATAACGATAATTATAACACCAATAATGATGATTAAAATGTTTTTGATAATGATAACTATAATGGTATTGATAACTATATTATACAATAATAAAAGAAGCTTACATCCTACTTTGTCCTCTTTGCCCCTTTTAGCCATATAAAGCTCATTTGGCCATATTTTAACTTGTCTTCTTTTTTTTTCTCCTTATAGAATCTTTGATGATTAACTGTTGTACATTTAACAAGTTACTCTATTATTTGTTAAAAGAAAAGTAAACAGACATGACTGTTCAAAACACATCAACTTTAAAGCCAATACAATTATGATTCCCTTCCTTCCTTCTTTCCTTCTTACCTTTCCTTCCTTCTTTCCTTCCTTCCTTCCTTCTTTCCTTCCTTTCTTCCTTATCTCTTTTCCATCTATCTATCATATCAATATTTGTTATTTGCAGACATTTCTTCGATGATCCTGACAATAGTACAATATGAAGCTTAATTACAATATCAACAAATAGCTTAATTTAATTGTTAAAATTTGGTAAAAAGAAATTTATCCTTTCATAATTAAATGCTACTATTGTCACTAAATTAAATTATTATTCATGTCGTAATTAATTACCAACTTTTTTTCATCTTTTTTTTTTCAGAATCATTTAATCATTTGTTTATTGTAAACGACTAAAACTAAGATAAATTGTATGATAGTATTGCAAATAATGAAATATAATTTGAAATGATAGGATAAAATTAAACGAAGTTTAAATTTATCGAATTAAAGAAGTTTAAGTTTATCGAATCGAATTACTTAATAATATATGATATGAAAATGCCATATAATGTATTTTAATTCATCGAATAAACTATAATATAGTGTGATAAAGTTTAATCATGATTCCTTTCGTTGTAAATTTTCAATTTAAAAAAATTAAAAATGAATTAAATATACCTGCATAAAATGAAGATGATTGTTGCATAATGGTATTTCCGGCCAGTTTAGATTTAGACAATGTTATTGTTGTTATTGATGATTGACAAGTAGTTGAAATTGATGATTGCTGATGATATTGACTAGAAGAACGATGATAATCCATATTCACTATTGTCATCCACAACAACCTAGAATGGCACTCATTTATGGAAGTAAGTAAACTATTTAGATTGACAAGAAAAGTTGATCATCGTGTATGATTCATGAATGCATCACTTATCTTTAAACATTAAAAAAAGGGGGAAAAAAAACAAGAATAACACTTATTTTCAAAAGAAAAAAATTTATGAAAAGTTTTCAAAATTAAATTTTGATAAAAGCTAACAAATATTGCAAATATATGGTCATGTTATTAAAATTATAATTCTAAAAATTATCAACTATAATTATATTAATAAAAGAATTAAAAAAATTGTTTGTGCGATGTTTGAAATTCAGTTTGATACATCAAATTACTGTAGTATCTATTTCAGGAAAAGGAGAGGAGAAAAAAAAAAAATGAAAATGTTAGGTAAATGATAATGAATCAGAATGAGACTTTATCAAAGTAATCAATTATTCATAAAATAAATATATTGTTGGTCATTCTCTAAACAAAAATAAAGGAAAAAGTAACACTTATCTTCGAAAAAAAAATGATTAATGTGAAACTTAGTAAGGTCATCAATTAGTCATTTGAATCTGAAGTATTAACAGAAAAAAAAAAGAGAAAAAGGTGACAATTTTTATTATAACCATAGATAAATATCCCCATTTATCCATAATAAATTTATTGGATAAGTAAGTTACTTGACCAGTACTGATCTGTTTCCTTACTTTCCTTCCCACTAAATGTAAATTATCTACTTTTTCCTAGAATTTTCCATGAATCGGAAAAATGAATCAATCATAAAATATAATATATTTTATGTAATATAGTAAATTTATGTAAATTTTCATTAGTTAATTTGTTTAATTTTTATTTGTATTAATAAATTTTTCGTTTTATTTAATCAATTTTTTTTTTTTTTTTAAAGTTACTTCGTTTCTTTAACATAGCTAATTTTCCCTGTTTTAAATTTAATTGAAAATTAATTTAATACAAATTATATCACTGAATGCAAGCAATAATTTTGTTTTCCCATTTGTAAACAACAATCGTTGTTGGTTGTAAATGACAATGCATACATGTTTACAAGATCCAATCAGCGCGGCGCACAATTCTGCGCAAATGATACCGTATGACTAAATGTGCAGTATTATCACATTTTAAAACATGACATTAAAAACAACAATTATCCTGTGAACTTATCAATGATAGATAATAGTTAACAACTTTATAAACTTGTGCAACATTTATCATGGATATTAGCATGCCATCCATACAATACAATGCTTACTACGAACTTAAAAAAAAAAAACAAAATTTACAATAATGCTATATTATCCTATAATCCTTTTATTTAATTTATCCATTAATTAATTCTA